CTTTCAAAGCTGATTGCTGAACAAGTTTCATCTGTACTAGAAAATATCATGTCACATTCAAAATTAAACAGAGAATGATGAAAAACCACAATGCATATGTCATACTACCTAATCCACATTAAATAAAATTATCTTCGAGTCCAAATATGATTAGACAAAAGCAGTTTGCAAGAAACAGGAAATTGCAAAAGTCAAGTTTGATACATTCTCCCTGCATCACAGATTTTTGCTGACAGTTTCAACACAGAGTGTGTTTTAAAAAGAGCAAAAGCTTCCATTTCACAACAAGCCCAGCCTGATGTTTTGAATCCAATTCCACTGACCTTTTTTATGTCTTGGGATTTGATATGGAAAACATTGCTCAGTTTGATCAAGATTTCTTTTTACGTTGAGATTGCCATAAAAGGCAATTCTGACTTCAAACATAACTATTTATGTAGCGATGCTGCCATTTTTTACAGCTATGGAGACCACATTGCTCAGTTTGATCAAGATTTCTTTTTATGTTGAGATTGCCACAAAAGGCAATTCTGACTTCAAACATAACTGTATTTATGTAGCGATGCTGCCATTTTTAACAGCTATGGAGACACTAGTTAAAGATCTTCACAGCAAATGACAGGCATGCTTTTACCATACTGGCAGCAAAATGCTCAGTCGCAGGTGCTTGCCTCTCCTTAGCAATGGTCAGTTCTGCAAATCTTTCAACTGGAACAACCACCCAAAAGACAGAAGTACACATATATGTGCATGTGCCCAGGATGGTAGGAAGTCATAAGCACTGTTCTGGTGAGTGATACCTGGTTTTTGGGCCACACATTCTGTGCCCTCAGTGATTCATTTGAAGTGACAAGTTTCCACCCCGTTAGTCCACCTGGTGCTGTCAGAGAGGCAGGGAGCATAGCTACACACCACACTGCAAATGATGTCAGGTCTGAATCTCCTTGTACTGTCTAAGGCTCAAACAAGCTGTTTGCACCATCTGAGGGGAACACATGGTGAAACAGCTCATCTGAATCTCCAAAAGGCTTGCGGTGACCTGATATAAAGGACTGACATTCAGCACCTGGCACAGGCTCTTTCTGTAAAACTGACTTCCAGTTTTTCTGTTTGTAGGTCAGTAGCACTTCACCGCAGATCTGGAAATAAACCTTACCGCCAATTTCTCATTTGCAGAAATTGTCTCTTACTAAATGTGTATTCCCTCCTTTCTCACTGCTAAAAGGGCCTCACGTAAGAGCACAAGAACAGCCATATGGTGTCAGACAGAAAGTCCATCTCCCTTGTGTGTTAGCTCCAGCAGTGGCCATAAATAGATGCTTAGGAAAGAGTAAGAGCACATCAGGATGAGCATATCTGATACTACCCCTTAAACATCCCACAGCCTCCAACTGTTTCCAGCAAGCCAGATGCTATTGCTATGGATTTAATAACTCACAAAGAATTTTGCTACCATGAACTTGTCCAGCCCCCACATAAGCTCATCTAAAGCTAAGCATCCTTCTTAGTCTGGCTTCTTACTGCCACTTAACAGAAAGGGTTGCCCAGTGATTAGAGTCACGTAAATCATCCTTGGGAGATACGCCTGCCTCTCCACTGCAGAGAGAGAAGCATGGATGATTAATATCAACTGGTAATCTATCTTTTTGGTAAATTAACTCCAGTGAGCTGAATCTCATCTTCAATCTTGATATCTTTGTTCTCCCAAAAGGTACAGTATGTTCCCTCTGTGGTCTTATTTGAGATATTACATTAAAGGCTGTGAGACATCCAGAGCTGACACTAACGGGAGTTGCAAAGTGTCTATGATAAACAGTAGGCTAAGGATAGAAAGCCTGCAGTGCTTTCTGTGCTTGCTCTATTTGTCTGTCTGTGCCTCTACAAAGCAAATATATGCCCAATTACATCAGACAAAAACTTCACCCATGTCACTGCTATTACAGTGACCCACAGTCTGATTCAGCCTCAGAAGGTTTTTATCATTCAGGCAAAACTATGCAGAGCCTGTGCCACCCTCCTCAAAACCTCTGGGCAAGGAGGTTAGAGAAAAGAGTTAACTGGGAAATGCAACAGTGAATGACATGGCAGGAGCAGATGGCGAGGGGAATGCTGTAGCACTGTTTGGAATTGAAACTCTCTTCCTAGTGACTATGTTGACATTGCTAAGTAGCGCTAATAGTTCAATGCTTGGTAAATGGGACTGGCAATGAAAGAATTCAAATTATTAAATAAAATTAAAATAACAACAGGCAGAAAACCAAACATCAAAATGTCAAGTGGTAATGAGAACACCCACTGCGCTGAATACCTCCTACTGACATCCAAGAGGATGCTTCAGGGTCACGAGGAGGAGAACAAGGCTCTTGAACAGTTAAGCCATATGCTTTCCAGTTAGTAGAAAAATCCTCTTTTAACCAAAACTATTCACATGAAGGAAAAACAACATGTCAGGTACCAGCTATTGATACTCTAAAAATGATAGCTTTCTTAAGTAGCATCACATAAAATTCATCACTTATCAGTAACATTGCTCTGTTTCTTTGAGAATCAAGTGTCCATCACTTTTTCATGGTCAGCTAGAGAAGTTCCACTTAGTTCCTGCTACCTTATTGGGAACCTAGGCTTAGCACAGAGATTCGCAAGCGTAGCTGAATCTTCTAGTAGCCATTTTCCAGAGATTAGGAAACCTCAGCAGTGGCTTTAACAGATGTGCTGTATCTTGGCCCTGCCCTCAACACACCAC